TAAGCACACAGCAAAGGAAGGCCGACCTAATGAAACATCTTGGGGCCCTCAAGAGTCACATTAGGCCCAGTTAGCTTAATCAGAGCTATTCCATCGTAATTCAATTCCAAAATTCAATTGCACCGTGACATAAATTCCATAAATTCAAAAACATGGTAATCATAGCCCATTTCAAAACGAAAATTAAATAGCAGCCATATTCCATAAATTGTCACATTAAATTGGTGCATCCATAAAACAATAACCAATGAATTCGGTGTACCACATATTAAAAACAATAAAACAATTCAGTAATAAGTAGGGAACACACCTCGATAATAGGTTCAAATAGCAAATCTACCGATTGCTGGTTTCACCACGCTCAGCTACAGTTTTCGAACCTATTTAACAATAACATTATATTACTTATGAGTAATATAAATAGATCCCTAAAATCATAAAAATTTACGGGTCTTACAGGTGAATACTGGCACACGTGGTTTAACTGATCTAGAAGAGATGGGTCGAGCTGTCGAACGATCCGGAGAGTCTCTTGTACCTTCAAATAATAATAATCTATCAGTCCCAAATCCTATTTAATTGTTTAAAGCTAGACTTCTTAACTATATAAGCATTTTTCGAGTTTGACTATCAATTTGGGGTATTTTGAGTCTGAATTTGGCCAAACGGATTGCGGAATCATAATCAGGACGTCGAAAAAATATAAAGTATGACTTTTCGAAAATCCAAATTCTTGGTCAAAGTCAAAGTCAACCACTTTGACCGTCGATTTGGAGGCCTTTGGATTCGAATTTGATGAAACGGTCAGCGGAAACAGATTCGGCACGTCGAAAACTATCAGGATAGGTATACTCGGAAAAGATTAACGGTCGTTTAATGCTCGGTCAAAGCCATTTTAAGTTTTGGTCAAAGAAAGTCAACGGTCAACGGTCGGGTCGGGTCAACAGTCGGGTCGGGTCGGGTCAGTCGGGTCGGTTCAGACCGGTCAAATCGGTTCAGACCGGTCAAACCGGTTCAAAACTGGTCAAACAGGTTTTCCAGCAGCTCACTCTCCATGCGGCGGCGCGTGCGGCGCGTGAACAGTGCCACGGTGTCGGAAAATTCCCGGAAAAATTTCTAAAAAATTATTTTGAGCGATTTCGAGATACTTACAACGATCGGTTCAAATTTTTGAACGGCGGAGAGCTCGTATTTCAACTCGGCCGAATCTTTGACTGCTCCACCTCCTCACGCGCCGCCGTCTACGGCGGACAAGATTGACACCGACGGACTCGAAACGACACGAGGAACACGATGGTGTAGGAGGTGTCGTTAACTGAGCAACGATCGACAGTGAATTTGAGATTTTCCCGGTGATAGAGCTAAAAAAACGTCGATGCTTTGACTTGAAATTCCTGACGTTTGGCAGCGTTTCGCTTCAATTAATTTAAGGGGATTGTTCCTGACTCGATAACGAACACGATGGTCCTTTCAAAACGACGATCGGAATTCAGACGGCGTCGGAATCGAGGTTTGAAGTTGGGCGTTCGGGATGGGATTTGGGCGTGGTTTTCTGTTTAAACAGAAAACCACGTATTCATATATAAACTAAAAACTTATCAACATTTAAGGGTAAATTCAGGGATTGGTCCCTGAATTTCCTTTAGCTCTAAAACAAGCTACAAATTTTTAAAATCTTTCAATTTAGTCCCCAAATTTTCACTAATTACGCAATTAAATCTTCAAATTCCAATTAAATATAATTTTGATATTTTCGAGTTGTTACAACACTACCTGTCATCACCCATTTTATCCCGATGATGTCACGTGATTTTTTTTCATATTATATATTATAATATAGTGGGCATGTGTATAATATAAAAATTAGCAGACCTTATTCCCATATGTGTATAATATATAGTATGTATATAGTATAGTATGCATATTAGAGAATCACATATCATAAATCATATAGTATATTATTTTTGCTAGGTGATTGCATATTAAATAATAATTTGCATGTGATAGTACATATTAGATAGTAGTTGCATTGCATGTCATATAGTTTCATATTAAATAATTGCATATTATAAATAGTATTGCATATTATATTAGATATTAAATCATTAGTATATTACATAGTTTTAGTATATACTATATAGTTTGCATGTTAGAATAAATAGCCCAGTTTTATTTATTTTTTAATAAAAAATTAAAAATCCAAATAAAATAGTCCATTTCATGAGATAAGTCCATTACATAGTTTTTTTCTAGGCCCAAAAGTAGCCCGCATTACAAATATATGCATATACAAATAAAAAAAATCCTAATATCTACATCCAGCTGCCGGTTTTTGTGGGAATTGGGGGCAATTGTTTTGCTTTAGTTTTTAAATGAGACAACATATTAATTGTGGTGCTACTTTTTAGGTACTTGATGATGACATCTTTTTTTTATCCTTGAGAAGCCATTATGGATCATTGATGAGCTATAGGTCCAATGGCCTAGATTTTTGACACATCATCCATCCTTGTCAAATAAGCACAAATTCTTTAGAGCCATTGGATGAGGAGTAGATCCAATGGTTCATATTGAGCCATGTCATCAAGTCGTGTGGAAGAAACACAAAACAATCTCAACTATTAGATCTAGATTGTATCCAATGGCTAAGATTGTATCACCCAAGGAAGTGCACTCCACCATCGGCGCGTCCCCACCGGTCGAAATCTTCATCGGTGCGACGCGCCGGCTATTCGTATTCCCATCGTTGTTCGTCGCCATGTTTGACCGGAAAGTCCACCGTTGTCGTTATTTTTTATTTTCAACATGCACAAAATCAAGAAGTCAATATTAACACAAGAAAACGAAGATTCTAGTGAAAATCTTAAAATGAAATTAGTTATAACCAAGATCTAGATGCTATCCTGTAAATCAGATGTTAGAATTCTTAACGAAGACACGAAGACCGTGAAAGAAGACTCTAATTCAAAAATCATAGCAAGAAATTCAAGAGGAATTCAAGACAAGTTACTGAATTATGGGTCTAATGAGAATCTGTAAGATCTGGGAGATGAAGAAAAAGGAGAGCTCAAATGGGTTTCTCTTGGATCTCATGAAAGGAGAGAAGTAACAATGGAGGAGGAATGGAACGATCGACGGTGAATGGAAATATAAATTACATTTTTCTGTTTCTTTTATAAAAAAAACTGTTTTTTTTTACCGTTTAGTTCGGTACTTCGTTACGTACGGTAAATGTACATAAGGTAGTGGCAGTATTGTAATATTATAAGATTTTTCTGGTTATTTTTAAAGATTTAATAAAATAGGAATAAAAATAAACTTTGAGTTAATCTAATCAAATTATCAAGTTATTCAAAAATTGCTTGTAATTGGACCTGGAATTTTCTGAATTTACAATTTGACCTCTGACATTTCTTTTATATATAATTTAATTTCCTATTTTCAAAATTGATCCAATAAGTTGAAACACTTCCATCATTCTTATTACTTCAATGCCAAATAAAAACATAAAGTTATATAATAGTACGAATAATAAACTACCATATAAATTATTAAGATGATTCTTAATATCCATATCATTTTGAATGTGACTGAATTTAGATCAATCCTTCAACTTTTTTTATAAAGTAATAGATCTAAAATTTATTTATTTCAGTCCTTTTTCATCTAATAAAATTTATTCGATATATTACAATATGAAGATATTAAAATGTCTGAAATTAATCACAACCACACAATCTATTATAATGGTTGCCTCCATATGTTATAACTTACGTACCTTTCCGTGAATAGTGAATATATTAACTCGTTGACTTATAAAATATCGTCAAACCAAGTTAACCCATAAATGACCCTTTTAATATTGAATTTATGACCTTTGTAAAGTTGGTTATCATCCTGAAGTTTGACTGGAATAGTTCATGCCCTGTTTAAAAAGAGTATATATACCTCATTCAAAATTTAATTCAACCCAAAAAATATATATTAAATGTTATGTAGAAAAAGTCTAGGGATGGCAATTTGTTAAGTTAGGTCAGGTTTTTTATCAACCCAATTTGACCCAAAATATATACATCTCTACTTAAATTTAATTCGATCCGAAAAATATATATTTTTTATTTGATTTGACCTGACTCGAAGAGTATATTTCATCCACCCGAATTCGGTCTGATATAAAATAAGGACTTAATTAAAAAAAAGCTATAGAGAAGGGTATTATCAGGTCTATCCCAATAGATTTAGAGGTTATGTTCTACATTTTAAAATGAGGTACCTAACATATTTTACAGTAAGACGAAATTATAAAATATCAAAATTTACCATATTACAATTGTTTCTTATAAAATAAAATTCCAAATATATATAATTAAGACAATGTCACAAAAAACTATATAATCGTAACATTTTATTTAAAAAGTATTATAATTTGAATGCTCTTAGAAGCAAAATCAATATATTTTTTTAAAATGTGGGACCTTTAAAATTTTGGGTCATGTGACTTATCACATATTACACTTGCCGAGAACGGATTTGGATATTATAGCAATTATCCATAAATTTATATGAGAAAAACTCATTGTTACTCCCGTGTTGGGCCAGGTCGAAGATTTTTCACCCTCCACCCAAACTCAATCCGACCTCACCCCTATATAAAATCTAACCCAATCTTATTCGTACTCGATCTTTCTTAAAAATCCGACTCTATTAAATTGAATAAAATCAAAATCTATCAATTTTAGATTAAATTATCGTCCCTAAGTAAAACTTACCGATGTTTAAAATTTTATCACAATGTTTTTTTTTGTTATAGAAGCCAGAGATACAATTTGATGCATTATAATGAGTAAAAAAATTAGTATGCCACATCAATTTTTATAATTTCACATCATTACGAATAAAGATCCACCACATCATTGGTAGTCAACCTTTGACCTCACTTTTAACTAATTTAACCCAAAGTCGTTGTCTTCTAAAGTGGCATACATTTTCCTGGGTTTTTTGTTTAGTTCTTTGGTTGAAGCAAAAAGGGGGAGAAGTCACGGGTGAGAACAATCCGATAATAAGAAAAAAAGATTACATTTTGTTGAAGGATTTCAAAGTGAAAACTGGAGTTGATGAAGAAAAGGGTTTTATTTTATGCTTCTGGGTTTCTATCTTCCACCACTACTCTGTATATCCCAAAATCATTCTTGAACAGGTTTAGCAACTGCTGCTCCCTGGTTTTGATTTTTTTTTCTCTTGTTCATTCAAAATTTGATATTTTTTTGTTTGGGAAATCACCCATTTCTCGTTTCTTGCTGTTTTTTGTTATGCTTTTGTATTTTTTTTATTTGATTTAATGAGTAGTTTATAAGAATTTGTTGGTGTTAAAAATTATCTTTCTTGGTTTGATTTCTTTGCTGTTTGGATGTTAGGAAAATACCCATTTCTTATTTTTCTGTTCCTTTTAATGATTTTACAAATGTTCCATATGTTTTGATGATCTTTTTCTTAAATTTGTATTAGACATTTACCTTTACTAGAGTTTTCAATTTCCATTTTTCTATTAAGTTCGAGTTTTTTTTTTATATATATAAGTGTATGCAGAGACTAATAGCAGGTCCCCTTTACTTGTTCTCAAGGGAAAGACATTGATGCTTTTACCATTTACTTGTCTACACAATGAAGCTCCTGGTTCTGGAAACACTGATTTACCATCGACTGTCGAGATTGAACAAAATGGAAACAAATGGATAAATGTCGGATACGTGGTATGCCTTTAAAATCTGACAAAACTATAAGCATAAAGGCATGATTGGTTTGAGAGCTTCACCTTTATTTGCAGTTTCATAAATTACTTTAATATCTTGTCATGGTGTTTGAATTGTTCGAGATAATTTTCGGAATGAGTGAACAGAATGTACATGTTTTGATTTGGTCTGTTTAGTTGCCTTGAATTCTAAATACTGATCACATGGAAAATTAGTTTTTCGAGGCATTGCAGTAGACATTGCATGTAGCTTTCTGCCTAAGGTTTCACTGTAGTATACTTCATAGATGAAAACTAGTTTTGTTGCCCTGGCTATTGTCATGTATACCGATTTTTCTGTTTTTCCTTTTCTTGTCAGGTCTCTTCTGATTTTGTGCGGCTTTACATTAATGGGGAGGTTGCAGGAGAGCTGCATCTTTCTTCTTTGTTAAACAAAGATTCCATACCAAATGGTTCAAGGAAGAGGGCATTGATTGATATTCGTGGTGATAGAAATTTTCACGCTTTCATCCATGACGCAAAAGTCTTGCCTTCAACTTTCTCCATAAAAGACCAATATGTTAAGGTGGCTTACTTGTAGTTCACACGTTTCCTCGATGTTTTTCCATAGCATGTAAGTTTACCTTAAGGTTTAGAAAACTGATGCAAAAATATAATACCAGGATTCACCTCTAAGATTGTCAATCGATAAGTCTACTACCTCTAATATTGAAGAAGACCATGTTGACTTCTGGCATATTTTTGGCGGCAAGGTAAATACCAAAGAGTTCGAAACAATTTTTTACTTTTGAATCATAGCTTTTATGCATTTCTTTTGTGATATTATTAATGTATTCTTTGTATAATCCGAAAGTTATCATATTGATATAATTGAGCTTTGCTTCCTACTTGTTTTCATCATCTATTGTGAGATGCACATACATTTGTTTTCAAATTTAAAAATGTATCCCAATATAGATGTCGGATTCCTATAAAAAAAAAATAGATGTCGGATTGTGAAATAAATAAAGTATTAGGTTGTTAACTTGCATGCCACTACTTTAGTCTAAGCAATAAATGTTGAGTGGGTAATTGGAATGGATCTTTTGCTTTTAAGTTCAAGCCTCATGGAACCAGCCAACTGTAAAGACATTCAAACTTGAAAGAAAAAGGATATTCTTATCTTAGTATGTAAATATTGCTGATATTTTAGCTTTTATCCCCAGTCTTTAGCATTTGATGCGGTAATATAGCCTATTTACTCGGACTTTGTGGTAAAGTCAAATTTCTTTTTCAAGATTTACGTGTGCAAGTTTGATTATGCGTTGAACATGGGCACTTATGTAAAAGTGAAGAGTAAGAGTAGCTTAGAGTATAGCTTGCTCATTTCACAGAATACAAGACAGGTTTTTAACCTTATTGATTCCTGAATGATATGATTTTACCGCTCCTTATATTTTATCTAAATTTACCTTTACACAGGCATCTCGTCGCCGGATCTTTTCCTTGGATGTTGTTTTATTAGATATCTTTGGGCAGCCAGTTAACAAGGAACTAGAGGTAATTTAGTCTTTATGCTTAATTTCGCGGTACTGTTTTTGCCTTCAATGCACCTAATTTTTCACATTGCTTGTTGGAAAGGTCGTTGCATCGCTCTTGTATGCTTTTAATCGGTTACCCGTTAAGAAGATAAATGGTGAAAAACCACCTCTTCTAGTTAGCTGTGATGGTATTGAATTTGCCTCTTCTGACCGACCTAGTAAACTATCAAAGGGGCGGGCATCCTTTAAACTGAAGATCTCCAAGGTGGTAATATTAGATTTAGTTTGTGCAATATTTTATTCAACAAGTATGTTTCTCGGTAAAAATTTCTTCGAGGAACTTATTGCATGAGAAACTAGTCTGTAGTTTTTCTTTCTTCTGGAAGTCTTCTATTGCGGAAAATAATGTCTTCTGCTGATGGTAACCAACCCCGTATAATATAACTGCAGCTAAACTACTTCTTATAGCAGAGGTTACAATATTTTGTGTAGGTAGGTTGGTTGAGTTGAAGTCCGGGTATAAATTCATAATGTCTCCACTGATACTTAAGCAAATAATTAAAATGTTCATTAATTCCAATCTCAAATAAACACATCTGATAAGGTTCACAAGCTTATCCAAAAGTTGGCTCATACGCATGATGTATATTGGCTGATTGGAAAATCAAGCTCTTAACTGGTACCTAAAGAAATTCATGGCTTGAGCTTGAATTAAACTTTAGCAAACCAAGCTTGATCAAAATTACTAGATTGGCTATTACAGCCTCTGGCAGAATCAATAATGACGGCAGGGAACTATATAAAAAAGGCAATGTGGAACTCTACATTGCATAGAAGAGTTTATAAAAAAGGAAGAAGCAGAACTCTCACTTCAAGATCCGAGAGGCCTGCAAGAGCCTGGAACATTTATACTTAGGTTTCCTACTTCAAGGAGTTGGCCCCACCCAGACGCTGGTAGCTTAGTTGTGACATATGTGGAAGTGATTACACTATCCATCACCGGCTGCTTTCTCTCGATAATGTATATAGGTGCGTGTTTCGTGCTTTATCAAATTTCATTGTTGCCTTAATTTGAACTGTTATTAAGGATGTACTCATTTTTTTTATAGGAATGGCAGGCCTCGATAAAAACCCCCTTCATGATTAATGGATCACAAAGTGCTCCTTAATCAGCGGAAGAAGGAGGAAAAGAGTGCCTTATAATTCATTAAAACCCAGAAATTACATAATACTTAGGGAACAGGTCATATAAGCTCCCTATACAAACCGGTCGAAAGCCTAAATTATAACAGAAACAAAACAAGGAAGCTAGCCAATACCAGCTTTTGCTAAGGCGTCAGCCTCAACATTTTAAGTGATTTGTTTATTATTTATATTTGAATCCTTAATAATTTCTTTGCAACACTGTACATGATGTTCGTCAGAATACAGACGAAACGAACAGCATAATTAGGAATAATCATGATATACTAGACCTGAATGTGTATGTTCGGCTTTTGGATTGAGTTTTCCTCCTCTGTTACTTGGACTCGGTATGAATGTCTTGTACGGCCTTTTCCGATTTAAATGGTCTTTGGAGGGTTCTTCAGGGTTAAATATTAGTGGATACTTTAGGTACTATTGTTTAGTTACACTATTTATAAACATTTATCATTATCTTCATAAGATGAGTTTTATGGATAAATTGTCTCGTATCCTTCCTATATATAGATTGAAAGAGATTTCCTGTCTTCATTTTGCTTATAGTTCCGAAGCACAGGAAATGAATGTCGAAGTAAAACCTCTGCATGATGTGCTATTGGAAGAACCCGAGCTCTCTCGACTAGGAAGGTAGAAAACATCTCCACTTCAATTTCCTTCTTTGTAAATCAGACATGTCATGTTAATTTTTCGTTTTTAACCCGTAAAAATGCAGGGTAGTGAGACGCCATTGACCATTGCTCGGATGTAGCATTGTGTTTACTTGTTTGGTTCAGGATGACCATTGCCATAACCGCACTGCTAGTTTAGGTTTGCTCAAGAGTCAAGCCCCTTTTCCTTTATAAAAAATATTTGTAATATTAGAAGCCGAGGCAGTGTCGTATCGTATCGATACTGTAAACAAGCATTACACTGATGATGACATTCATGTACCATACATGCTGACAAGAAATCAATTTTGAAAAGTTTTTTGTTGTCAATGGCATCCGTACTCTATGTTTATGAAGTATTTTTGCCAGATATGTATTCGGATATAGATACAGAGTACGAGAATATAAAAAAAAATTAGCTGACCCTATTTCCATATGTAATGGGGTAAGGGGAGGTAGGATAGTAGGCTTCCCCCAACGCCAGGTTGAGAGCAGCTTCCGTGGGAGACATCTGACCGTCAGAATTATGAATTGTCTACCGTGGGACTCGATCCCACTACCACAAGGTTAAGAGCCTTGCGAAATTCTGCCGCCAAAGAAATTCCAAAGGTATTGATAATTTCTTATATTTTATGCACATTGAGCATTGCATGGATCATTCATTAAGAATGAAAGGAACCAAGAACAAACATGTTATAAAGCAGATTAAAACGAAAACTCCAAATCCTTACGCAAGAAGTCGCTTCAATATTTTTTGTGTTGGGTTTGTTTTGGATTAGCTAATGGAAATATTTGATGCTCAGCATGATAGCAAACCAGGTTTTTTTTCTCTATCCCTTCCCTCTTTTCCTATTTTGATGTTCATTTTGGTTATAGATGTAACGAATGCTGTTGTAATCTATTTTTTTCGTAAATATTAGCAGCAGAAGCTGAAACACCTCATCAAGAGGAAGCAATCGCCGCCGCCACTGATCAGCATCCGGTATTCAGACCCAAAAACCGCTGGAAATGGTGGCTTCTAGTGGCACTCAACATGTCTTCCTCCTCGCCGGTCAATCAGCAGCCATTCTTTTAACCAAATTCTATTTCAATCATGGCGGAAAAAGTAAATGGTTGGCATCTCTCACGCAAACCATCGATTTTCCACTCCTTTATCTCCCCCCTCCTCTTCTTTTGCTACGTTAACATGTTCCCGAGCTCCTTAAACAACATAACCCATTGTCTGGTTTACTTTTCACTTGGTTGTCTGCTTGCCATCGATGACCTCTTGTATTCAATAGGCGTCGAACCACTTTCCGTTTCGACACTCATTTGTGCAAGCCAGTTGGTATTCAACGCGATCTTCTCATTCATTATCAACTCCGAAAAGCTCACTATCCTAATACTTAACTCAATAATCTTCATTACGATATCGGCTTCGATGATCGTGGTTCACCCCGACGCATCCAAAGATAAAATCGGGAAACCTCCTGTACGAAGGCAAGAACGTATCATCGCGATTCTATCAACAATCGGTGCTTCAGCATGCTATGCTTTAATGCTTTCTCTAACGCAATTTTCATATGAATAAGTACTTAAAAAGGACACATTCCTTGTCGTGTTTGAAATGCAGATTTACACTTCAATCGTCGCTACTTTCGTTTGCATATATGCTTGGATTGTTTTTGAGTACGGAATTTATGGATTTAAAGTCCGAGATGGAGAAATTCAATGAAGGGAAGGCAATTTATGTTGCGATCTTGATCGGAACAGCGTTGGCATGGCAGATTTGTACAGTAGGAGTTGTGGGATTGGTCTATTTGGTGTCTTCTTTGTTCTCAAACGTTGTTAGCATGCTTAGTTTGCCATTTGTTCCGGTTGTTGGCGTGGTGTTGTACGGTGAAAAAAATGGATGCAATTAAGGTATTGGCAATGTTGTTCACTCTTTGGGGCTTTGCTTCTTATATCTACCAACAATATCTTGATGAAAATAAATCAAAGGAAAACGAATCCGAGCGAATTGAAGATTTTAAATCCGAACTTAACTCAATTGATTCGGATGATATTAAATAAATTTAAATTTCAAACACTACATCTGTAACTTTTTTCTTCCATTTTCAGTTGTATCTGTAAGCTTCTTATTTCAATTGTCTTGAAATTTATTTCACGGTGTCATGTTATTTGGATTGGGTGAAAATATTGAATGCAAGTGTGCACTGAGAAATGCCTAATATGAGTATTTGGAGGACTCTTAAAAGAGTAACATATCGATATTCATATCCGATATTATATCGGTCTTGTATATTTCATGAAAAATGAAGAATCGGAGCAACGTAGATAATATCGACGAACAAGTTCAGATATTCCACTTTCTTTGAAGCACTTGGCAAATTCTTCCTGCAATGGTTTCTGCACTCATTATGGGACCATTATCAACTGCAAAAACCAAGCTAAAGATCAGAGTCATCAGACATGATTATGTATACTTATAGGATGATTATATATATATACCTCTAAGATTTTCATCGATGGCATTAGCAACTAGACCAGTCAACTTGCCAATCTGGTAAAATTTTCAAATTAAGTTATCATGAAATCATAAGTTTGAGAGACTAATTGAAGCATGGAAGACAAACCAATTATATGATATGAAATCAGGTGATAGTTACAAGGGTAAACTTACCACGAAAACATAGGTTATATTTGGATCAAAGGAGGAGGCCATCATGGCATTGAAATCAGGTCTTCTTCGTAAATCACATCCTGAAACATGTCGAAGATACATACTTACACGAATATACACGAAAACAAACATAAACCGCGCCTACTTATAAACCCATCTAGAGGCATTTCTCTTCCCAAAATAAGATACTGCTAACCTATGACACGGAATGCAGAAAATTGATCCCTGAAGCTATGACTACGATTGAAGCTGCGAATAACGGGGAAATAATGACCGCATGATCGTCCTGTTTGGAAGAATCTTCCTGTAAAAACAATTGATAAATTATAAAAACCATTTACTTAAGCAACAGGTTCCTATATACATTCGATGGAAGGAAATTGTTGTCTTAACATTAAATTATTAAGTTTTGAAACTTTAGTCTAATTGCTTCTGTTTCAATATTATTAGATATGTTCTGCAGAAGACCAACATTTTATCATTTTCAATCCATTCATTGGAGCCACCACAGGCATCCCTCTGTTTCAATTCTTAATACCTACCTTGATTCTTGCCAAACTCTATCTTTGAAATAAATTAACCCACTATAAATTTATTAAAAAACGAAAGTGAAACACTCAGAAAATGCCGATTAAGATAGTCATTACAAGATGGAAATACTCAAGGGAAGGCTGCTATAGGAGAGGATGCAGGAAAACATAATACATACAAAAAAAGCACCCACGCAGCAATAGATATGAAACAGCTATAGAAAAGGGCTTGCCTACCACCATGCAATGAAGTTTTCTGCTCTCTCCACTGCTCGGTCTGCAACAAAAATCCGTCAAAGAGTTCTCTTTTTTACCTTTTTTACAAATCTTTGTTGAACTCTCTCGTAGATCTTAATGAACCACCATGGTTTTCCAGTTGTGAATACAATGTATCCCATGCTCAATCCCAACACCAACCCACATCCATATCCCATCAGTATAGAAAATTTCCAATTCAATCCATCATCATCATCTCTATCAAATTTGGCTGGAGTTCCCTCATCATTATCACAGCTTTTTGATAATGGCAATCCACATAAACCCAAGTTTCCTATGTAGGAATCATTACTGAAAGTATCCAATTGTTTACCTTTAGGAATGGGTCCCACGAGATTATTGTGAGAAAGGTTTAACACCTCTAGGAATCCAAGATTTGTAAACTCTGTTGGAATTCTTCCACTGAGCTTGTTTGATGAGAGATCTAATGATTCAAGTTCTGACAATTCACCTAATGATGATGGGATAGGACCTGTTAAACAATTATGAGAGAGATTTAGGACAATTAGTGAATGAAGCTCTCCAATTGTTTTGGGAATTTCTCCGAAGAATTGGTTGCTGGAAAAGTCAATAGCTGTCCATATGGTTAATAGTTTCTCAAACTCTGTTTCCAATCCTTTTGTTGTTAAAGATAAACCTGGCGCAATATATACTCCACCAACTATTGTATCTATCATGTACTCTGGTTTAACTTTCTTTTCATTCACTTCTCTAATGGCATGCAAATTTTCAAAAAAATTTACAGGTAGGTAGCCACTGAAGTTATTACGAGAGAGATCAATGACACGCAAACGAGTGAAGGTAACATCATAGCTATCCACCTTACCATAGAATCTGTTCGATCTCAAGTTAAGCACTTGTAACTGATCCAAATTTCCTAACCAATTTGGGAAAGTGTCATTTAAATAGTTGTTCCCAACATCAAGAAACTTCAGTTCTTTACAATTACCTAAAGATCGTGGCAGTGACCCTTCGACTTGGTTGTTTTCGATTCCAAAACTTTGTAAGGTGCAACCTTCAGCAAAATTTACAACACATTCCGAAATTGTTCCATCCAACCTATTGTTCGATAAATCGAGAGCCACAAGAGAACTCAAATTGCATAACGAGGAAGGAATTTGGCCTTGCAGAAAATATGAAATAGAGTTTGAATCAGAAGTTTGAATAATCTTTGAAACAAATAAATAAATGTTTGTTAATTTAATTAACAACATCAGGCCTTTTCTTACATGAAACTAATACCATTTATGGAGCCTGAATTGTAGTAAAATAAATAACTGTTTTTAAAATGATTTTAAATATTCTTCTCATTAAACAAAAAGATGACCATTGCAAATCGGTACATTTTCCAACAGTTAGGTATGTAAAACAAATATCATTTTTGCTAGAGAATCAACAAATATATTTTTGAAAATTTCATTTGGATATCACATGACATGCAACAAATTACCAAATTTTGGACAGAAAATTTTCTAACGAAATAAAAAAGAAAGTTGATATTGAAAAGGATTTTGATAATTTCTTTTGATGTATCATAACTTAACAATATTTAAAACTTACAATTAGAAAAACCAAGGAAATTTAGTTTAGTTCATTTCGAGTTGAAAAAAATAAGATATTTTAAATTTAAATCATTTTAGAATGGATTTATTTGAGTTTAATACTTAAATGATTTATGTTTGAATACAAAAGGACACGTCAAATGAAAACAATTCTTATAACTAATTAATAAATATATAACAAAATAACAATAAAAAGAGGAAGGAAAATTATATTATACCCGTGAAGTTGTTAACCGAAAAATCAATCATTTCTAGAGAAATTATATTTTTGATAACCGATGGAATTGTACCTGAAATGTAAAATTAAATAATCAGTCCAACCTTTAACCAATTATTGCCTATAATCTACACCCAATTCTTTAAAGAAAATGTTTCTATAATTAATCAATTCATCTTTTTCTTCTTCATTAAATTGGGTTAACATCAAATAATAGGTTGATGATTATCGTTTAAAGTCATGCATCAAGAACTAAAGTTAACATCAAATAATAGGTTGAATTTGAATATTTTATTATATAATTTAAATAATATTTTATTTTAATTGAGATTTTTTAATAATTAAATAGTTTATGATTTTAATCAAAATTTTATTTTTAATCTATACTTTTATTATTCTAAATTAGTTCTAGGAAATCTCAATTCAAATTATAAATTGAAAAACTATTAGGAATGTTACCAGAAATTTGATTCTCAGCCAAGCTTAATTATTGCAAATTAGACATGTTATCAAATATTCCCTACTCCAGATGACTTGCAGTGAGATTGTTAATTATAAAACAACTTTTATCTAACGAAAATAAAAGAGAAAGGGATGCAAACAAGGAATTTTTTACCTTTGAAGTTATTGTAACCAAGAAACAAAGATTGGAGCATAGTCAAATTTCCGATTTCTATAGGTATACTTCCTTCCATAGAATTGTTCCACAGTGATAAATACCTCAACTCTTTGCACTTGTATAAACTACTGGGAATGCTACCAGAAATTTGATTCCCATTCAAGCTTAATACTTGCAATTTAGACATGTTATCAAATATTTCTGACTCTAGATGGCCTGCAGTGAAATTGTTAGTTATATAAATCTTTTATCTAATGAAAATATATTCAAGATCGAGAAAGATATAAAATTTAAAAAAAATATGATATTATATTTTTAAAGTTGTTAAAAGAAAGACTAATATTCTCAAGATAAGTAAGTTTGTAATAACTAATGGAATTTCACTTCAAACATATAAGTAAACCGATCAAAATTTATTAATAAATTTTCTAACAAACCCCTAATTTCTATGTTGAGCACCAGAGGCATTTGTTCTCCATTTCTTTCCCTTTTTATTTTCTTAAACTTGAAAATTTTATTCAAATTTTTTTCACTGCTTAAGAAAGCTGCAAATAGTTGAAAATATTTAATCCAAACACATCTTTACCCAAGAAATCGTTATTAGAAAAATTTATGTACGCGAGAGAATTCAAATTTTCATTCTCTGGTGAAATTTTATCTAAAATATATAATTAAATCTGTCAAAAATTATTAATAATTTTATAGAAGATCCTTATATTTTTGTTGGAGTGCTATAGGCATATATTTTGCATTTCTTTTCCGTTTTAAAAAATTAAAAAAAAATTAAATTGTTTTAGTACTTATGAAAGCTCCAAATAGTTGGAAGTATCAGGTCCAAAAAAAATAACTGAAACATCCAAAAAATTAAATCAAGCACTAAACATGATAATATTACATACAATTTTTTAAGTATCATATTCAAGTAGTTAGAAGTATGAAATGTGAAACTAATTTATTTTTTCATAGCCAAAAGTATTACTATATTAAGAGATTAAAAATTTAAAAAACTACAGAAATTTAAAAATAGTTCCAAGGTATTTGATTCAAAGAAGACTAACGATACAACTTATTTCAATATGTAGGTTAGGACTTATTCCTTTAGTCTACCCTAATTTGACATTAAATAATTGGTTGATGGTTCAACTGTCTGTAAAAATAAGATAACAAAAAATTGGAATTGTTAAGTGAGAGTAGATGGACTGCAATGTGAAATTATTTACCTTTGAGGTTGTTCTGATTAAGATACAGAATGTCGAGCATAGTCAAATTCCCAATTTCTGAAGGTATACTTCCCTGCAAAGAGTTGGAAAACAATGATAAAAACGTCAACTCTTTGCATTTGAATAAACTCTTTGGAATCCTGCCAGAAATTTGATTTTCATGTAAATCGAGTCCTTGTAATTTAGAAAGGTTGTCAAACATTCCTGATGATAGATGACCTGCAATGAGAATATATTAAATATGACAACGTTAGTTATAAAATAAACTTTTTACAAGTGAAAATAAAGACATGATTGAGAAAAGTATGGGACCTTGGAGACTGTTGCTGTACAAGCTCAACATTTCAAGTTTTGACAAATTGCCAAGAGTGGATGGGATAACACCAGTGAAGTTGTTCCTGTACAAGAACAAGCCTTGAAGTTTAGCGAAGGAACCAAACCATGATGGGATTTCTCCACTGAAGCTGTTGTTACCAAAGTTCAAATATTTCAGCCGATGCAAATTAGTTAACTCAATAGGTAAAGAGCCATGAAAACTATTGTTATGAATGTAGAGGTAGGCAAGGAAAGATAAATTTCCCAACTGAGATGGGATGGTGCCTGTGAGATCCATACTTGACAAGTTCAGAGCTGTGACTCTGTGGTGTCTGGATCCACAGGTGACACCAATCCAATTGCAAACAGAGGTAGAAGTGGACCAGTTGGTTGCTAGGAAGTTGTGGGGATCGTGAGTGATATGGGATTTTAAGGCTAAAAGGGCAGATTGATCAGTGGTGATGTTGGCAGAGAAAGTAGCACTAAAGGTTGCAAATAAAAGCAGAAACATAAGAGGAGGGAGGAAGGGAGTTTTTGCCATAAGGTTGGGTGTGGGTATAATGCAAATCATGAAGAGAGAAACAACTGGGTTTAATGCTTCAGTTGAGTGTCTTTAAATAGGATGGATTTAGGGAGGGTATCCTTTGAGTCATAATTTGGATAAGAAGGCACCAACCACAATACACGACACATAATGGAAGGCTTAAAATGCAAGACTTAGTCTCGAGTTGAAGAGTAGAACTGATATACTTGTTTTAAGACTTCATGTCTGGACCCATATTTCACGATTCAATGACTTTTTTTCTCTCTATCGTTTTCTACTTCATGTCGTATGTAACTTACCATTTTAATTTTTATTTTGTTATTCCAATTATTCAAACCATGTACTGCAAACCTTGCTTCTCATCGTATTATTTGAGTAATTTGAATATTTAAATTATTACAAGAATTAAATTTAAATACTTTAATATGCAACTCGAATAATTTATGATTTTTTTAATATATACTTTTATTATTTTCAATTAGTTCTAAGAAAATCTCAATTCAAATTATAAATTGAATTTGATCATAAATAATCTAACTTGAAACCGATTTTCTCTTTTTCTATCTTTTTCCTTAGCCGTCAGCCGTCATTAGTCTCTTTTCTTCTTCATCTTTGTAACCGGCGGCAACACCAGTCTTGGTACTGGTTGTCGACCGTCGGTATTCATTATTTTTCTTTTGCTTTATTATAGCGTATCTTTTTTTAATTTCTGTTTTTTATTCTTAATAATTTTGCCTTTTAGGTAGTTCTCCTGCCTTTATGGCATGTTTTCCTCTGTTTCTATGGCATGTTTTCGGTTGTTTGACCGTTGTTTTCTTTTCTTTTCTTTTCAGGGTTAGATTTGATATCATCACAACTGATCAAGATGACGCTTATTTGTTATCATGATGATCTTAAATTAATTTAGTTTATTAACTCTGTAAAATATAAAACTAAAATATATTAGATCGATAAACATCAACTATGACATTTTCTATAGTTGCATGCATGTAGGAACATGCGTAAAACGATATCAATGTAAAATAAGATATATGCAAGAAACGAGATTTAATGTGGTTTGACTTTGTCTACTTTTACGAACAATAAGAACATTAAACCATCATAGACGTAGAAATCATGAAGCGTACAAATACATGATATCACATGTATATTAAAATTTGATATCTATCCAAAAACTCAAAGTATCCAAAATCACTCGCTTAATATCCCTATAAAACTCCTCTTTGTAACATAAACCCCAAAATATGTAGAGAGTACAAGATGATTATATCTCTCAAAAAATTCTCTCATCATTTTAAAGGATTCTATTATATAGGAATTATTGCCTAAAATAAATATTTACTTACTAAATAAACTTAATTATCAAATAATCTTCAACCACTATAATTATAATAAAATCCAACTTAAATATTGATTATAATTTGAATCAAAAAATAATTCGTGCAAATGTGATTGTTGAAAAGGATCGATTGTTTCAGTCTAGTTTCAGTGGACTTCGAGGAAATTAGGGAATGGATGGAAACAAAGACTTAGAAGACTTTTAGAACATAGTTAACCAAAAAGACTTTTATTCATAAAATGAAATCGAGAATAGTATTTAATGTAGATTGTTATTTTGTTGAGCATTGGAATCAAACATATCCATCAATCAACAAACTGTCACAATTGGAGTAAGACATACGCAAAATTATTGGGCACAAAAGGAAAACCAAATATGAAAGACTTAGTCTCAGTACATCAATTGAGAATCTTATTTTGTTGTTCCATTTGGTACTTAAGGTTTTGCCTTGATTAATTCGGACCGACTTGGATCGCACAGCTGGCTTTAGTGGGTAAGTCTCCTAGCGGAGATTTTTTACATACACAATAACTCATTCATACTTAAGCGATACTAAGTTATTTACCACTTGAGCCAACCCAGAATCTTATTTTTGATTGAACATTGGAATCTAACATATTCATCATTTGTTATTTACGAGTAATTTCAAACTTTGTCACATTCACACAAATCAAAGGCAGCCTGTTTCACCATGGACTGTACCCCAAATCATACGTCTCAAGGCATCACTTAGGACCACATGTCTGGACCCATTTTTCACGATTGTGATAATTAATTCAATGGTTGTTTTCATCTCTTTTATTTTCCACTTGATGTTGTATCTTTCTGTTTCAATTACATATTGTTTTGCAAATTAATACTGCAAAGTTCTACCACAAATCTTGGTTAATAACGCATCAACTAAGTAGATAGTGCCGTGACACAAACTCTTAAAATCTCACATCAACCATTTATTAGAATTGATCTTGACATATATAAGTATTCGCGTAACCAGGGATGAAGCTTCCTTGAAGACGGGAGGACTCTTCCCCCACCCCTAGAGAATAAAAACTTGATTCGATTTGAAAATTTTGAAATTTTCGATTGGACTTGACTCGAAAAAACTTAACTCGACTTGGAAAAAAAATTAAATACTAGTTTAGTTATAAAATAGAACTCGAATAACTCAAAAGTTTTAGTAATTGGTGGAATAGTGTTCAAGTTTGAGTCGAGTCCCTTAACTTGGCATGATATATATATCGTATATGGTTATAGACATGGACGGACGTAGGAATTCAGGTCAGGGTGCGAACTTAAGAAGTTATATTAAAAATTTTAGAATATGAAAAAATAGACAATCAATAGAAAATACAAAGAAAAAACTAAAATATAGGGAATTTAAAATTTCTAGGGGTTGTGACCCCTTCGGTCCATTCCTGATTATAGAAAATTGTTTAAATTGGAATCAAAGAAGACGTGAAAAAGTGAAAAGACACCTGGACCTGATACCTAGATAGAATCTAGAGAGGGAAATTTAATTTAAATTTCAAAAATTTTGCCAGTGAAGATTCGAAAAGATTAGAAGAACCCTTTTCGGAGTATGAGATCAAAGAAGCAATTTAGAGTTGTGGGGATCCGAAGGTCCTTGAACCTCATGGATTTAACTTGAAATTATATAAGTTTTACTGGGAGGAAGTCGAAGGGAAAATTATGTAAGACGTTATCTGTTTTCTTCGAAGAAGGCAAGTTAGCTCCATCAATTAACTCCTCTAGTGTAGCTTTAATTTTGAAGAAGTGTGATCCAACAGTTATTTCTGAATTTAGACCAATTAGCCTTGTTGGGTCAATTTACAAGATCATTGCAAAATTACTCTCAATGCTTTTTTATGATTGGTGATGGACCATAATTGGTGAGAGTCAATGTGCCTTCATAAAGGGTCGACAAATCTTTGATGGAATTCTAATTGCAAACGAAATTATCCATTCTATGGGATATGACGGTAGGGTGTCAGGGGGTTATCTTGAAATTGGATTTATCCAAGGCCTATGATTGCGTGCCATAATTATATACAAAACATCTCTAGAAAAGGGTCTGCCTACCACCATGCAATGAAGTTTTCTGCTCTTACACTGCCACTTTGCAAATCTTTTATGCATTCATGGAATCAACAGTATTGGTAACATAAACCCCAAAATATACAGAGAGGACAAAATGATTATATCTCTCAAAAATATTTCTTTTATTATTTTAAAGGACTTTATTCCATAGGAATTATTGCCTAAAATAAATATTTACTTATTAAATAAACTTAATTATCAAATAATCTTCGATCACTATAATTATAATAAAATAAAATTCAACTTAAATATTAATTATAATTTGAATCAAAATATAATTTCGTACAATGATGCAAATGTGAATATTGAAAAGGATCCATTGTCTTAGCCTAGTTTTAGTGGATTTCGAGGAAATTAGGGAATGGATGGAAACAAAGACTTAAAAGACTTTTAGAACAGAGTTCACCAAAAAGACATTTATTCATAAAATGAAATTGAGAATAGTATTTAATGTAGATTCTTATTTTGATTGAGCATTAGAATCAAACATATCCATCAATCAACAAACTGTCACAATTGGAGTATAAGACATACGCAGAATTATTGGGCACAAAAGGAAAGACAAAAATGAAAGACTTAGTTTCAGTACTAGGGATGGGTATGGGACTCGAATCTGACGGGTTCTGATCCGACCCGATCGGGTCAGTTTTTTTTTAAATTCAGATTCAGGTCGGGTAGGGTTGAGTTTTTTTAAAGGTAATGTTCGGGTTGGGTCGGATTCGAGTTTATGGTGAAAAATATCCGACCCGACCTGACCCGAAAAAAAAATATAATTTTACCTTAAATATATTTAGGAATAATTACAATAATATCCCTCTATATATTTTTTAATTAAATCATTATTTTTATTGAATTAAAATAATATTTTTATTATTATTTCGGATCGGGTCAGATCGGGTTCGAATTTTATCTCAAAAGATCGGGTCGAGTTTAGGTCGGGTGAAGGATGTAAAATTTTCAGTTCGGGCCAGGTTGGCCGAAACCCAACCCATGCCCCTCCCTACTCAGTACATCAATTGAGAATTTTATTTGGTGGTTACCTTTCCGATTCTCAAGGCTTTGATTAATTTTGACCGATTCAAGTTGCACATTAGGTTTTGTTAGGTGAGTCTTTTAGCGGAGATTTTTTGCATATATAAGGACTCGAACTCGAAACCTACTTAAGTGATATCAAGCTGATTACCACTTGAACTAATCCCGTTGATAAAATCTTATTTTGATTGAACATTGGAATCAAACATATTCATCATTTGTTACTTACGAGTAGTTTCAAACTTTGTCACATTCACACAAATCAAAAGCCAGCCTGTTTCACCATGGACTGTACCCCAAATCATACGTCTCAAGGCATCACTTAGGACCAAATGTCTGGACCCATTTTTCACGATTGGACCAATTAATTTAATGGTTTTTTTCATCTCTTTTGTTTTCCACTTGGTGTTGTAACTTTCTGTTTCAATTATATTTTGTTTTGCAAATTAGTACTGCAAAATTCTTCTGAAAATCTAAAAGCATCAATTACAAGTACATATTGTTTTTTAAATGGTGATATGTTGTTATTTTTTTAATATTTGAAATGAAAGGTTTAGTTGGGAGAGTATGTAAAAATAAATAAATAATTTAAATATAAAATATATTATCAATCAATCATCATAATATTAAATGTTTAAATTAATTTAATTTATTAGCTTTGTAAAATATAAAACTAAAATATATTACATCAATAAAC